ACGTTTTTCAATTTTAGGTTTTTCAAAATGCTAAAAAGAACACATTTTCAACAATCTCAAAATAGACACTCAAAACACAAAACACAAAATGAATTCAAAACTCAAAACACAAAACTGAAACACAAAGAGAACAGCTCATTAGTTTCCTATTTTCATTTACTGAAACCACTTTTTGAGTATTTCTCAAATTTCAATTTCTGTAGCATCTGTCCTGCGTTCAGTTCTCACCTCGTCCACCCTCTCTGTCTCGAAATTGAAGTCAAAAGGTTCACAGATTTTTTTTCTACAAAAGATCAAAGAAGAAGTACTCTTAATAAATACTGCTACATGATATAGTTTGCAAGGTCACTTCAAATACCTATATTTGATGGATATGCTTATCGACTGATTTGAGCTTTGGAGTATCTGATTATTGTACCAAATAATACAATTTCTCTATCGATTAAAGGGATCGAAGGGCAGAGCCTTTGGTGTCTCCTCTAGTCAAGAATCGGACCTTATTCGAATGGTGAAACTTTGAAATCCATATCATCTTGCTTGATGCATGTTATAGATGTTTAAATTGGTTCTTTTTTCTCTTTTTGAGTGGTTAAGAATTTATCAGATTCTCAATAACTTTCCAATTTTGTTCTGGCAAACCACCATTTAATTAGCTAATATGCTCATTTTCCACCACATTTTCTTGTGTTTTAACCAGATAACCTTCCTCTAAATAGGGGGATCTAGGTTTTTTCCTAAAAACCATGAACATTCAGGTCCATTCATTTGGATATAAATTTCAGTCTTCACTTTCACTTTCAGCATCAGACATCAGAGCTACTTATAAGTGAAAACTTGTGAAAATGAGTGCTAAAATTACTCTTTTGTTTTCCCTTTTATTCCGCAAAGCCAATGCCACTAACATTACCAAGCTCTTGAACCAGTATCCAGATTTCAGCACTTTCAACGATTACATAACGAAAACTGGACTAGCCACTGATATCAACTCGTTCCAAACAATCACGGTCCTAGTCGTAGACAACAGCGACATTTCCCTGTTATCTGGAAAATCCAATGCTGCCATCAAGAAGATCTTGAGTGTTCATGCGATTCTTGATTATTATGACGTGAAGTAACTCGAAAACTTACTGAGTGTGTGTTTGGTAGGGATTTTTTGAGGGAAGAATTGATTTTGAATAGTGATACGATGGGAAATGTGT